CAGGAGAACCCGTGCGTACATAGAATTAGCAGAGACAATAGCCAAATACAATTGAAAAGTAATGAGGACGTCATAAGTGTACGAAAAGAAGAATTAATACTATGGATTTAGTATCAATACATACCTTGTTTATACAGAGAGAGACTAAATATGAATTGGAGTCGTAAGTCCTGACATCGCTTAACAAGATGTATGGGCGAACTTAACACAAGGTCCCTCCGAGGAGGTCGCGTAGCGACCTCCGAAGGGAGGGACTTGCATCGAAAGTGGCAAGTCTCACCCTACAGAGTCCAGCCAATTGGCTGTGAGTAGCTCCCCCTCCCCGATAGCACCCACTAGCACTCATGTACCCATCCCGCCTCTGGTACCATTGAAATCGCAAGGCTTACAGGATAATTATTGTATCCTCCAAATCTTCAATATCTGTTCCTGTTCCTGAGAATTGTCCTGTAAAGTTGGGGCTGTGGAAACTATCTGTAAACAATCCGGCTTTTTCAAAGCCGGATTTTCCACCAAAAGATCCGGTCATGAATGTGTAATTCGGTGAAGCATAGTATGTGAGATAATGTCACATGAGTTTTTTTCATTACACATCATCTAAAAATACTCTTATACTTAAGCGATGGTGAGGCATTTGAACGCTGAGAGATCTAATGCCTGCCAATACAAACACTCACTATTGAAAACCGGATACTATGCAATTGCGCAGAATCCAACAGGAACCCGTGAGAGGGTCCACGATCTGATGAAGTCGGATCCGAATTGGATCTTGGCAAAATTCAGATCATCACCAGCTAAAAACATCGGAGGGACAATGGTTTTAAGGCAAAAAATTACAAAAAGGATCGGTCTGAGAGCTGAGATGATAAAGTACAATTCTGCCTACTCAGAATTACGAAAAGTTGAAGAGTACATTTTTAAATAATTTTCGAAGGCAAAATAAGCGTTTTTTTCGCAGAAATCTCATTTACCTTGAGTCATCGGAGGGGCTTTGGAGGTAAGCCTCTCCTTTGGAGAGCGTCCCTTCGGACGCGGGGTCCCTTCGGGACCCTCCAATCGCGAGGCTTATGTTAAGCTCGATGTATGGGCGCACGGCTACAACTACCCCCTCCTCTAAAACCGGCCCGACCTCGGGACGCGAAACGATCAACCGGCGATCACTCGGCGTTGGACGGAACCGGCAAGTTTGCAACCGCCTTTGTCGCCTTTGCTAAAACCCGGGAGACCTTTTCTTCTCGGCGATTGTCTTTCAACTCAATAGCCGGAGGAGCCGACCACATTTCATTGGTGATAACAGAGCGCATAGATACTGGCCGCAAGTGATTTCCGTTAACCGGCCGTGAGTAATCTTCTCCATTATGATCAATCAAAATATACACATTATTATCCCTCACTTCCTTGACTTCAAAAGGACCGAACCATCGTTGTTGACCTTTAGTGTGGGATTCATTGCGCAATTTTACAGAGTCGCCAACCCGATACGAAGCGGCAACCGAAGGATTCAGTTTCTGGTCGAAACGGACCTTATTTGATAGTGACTTCGCATTCTGTCCCGCTAAGGCTGTAGACCGCTTTGAATTCAGCTCGTCAATCCGGTTTTGCAGTTGCTGCTCCGAGGGAGAAACCTCTCTTTTGGCGATCAATTTGATATTATCGGAAGGTAGACGCGGCCGAACGCCATACAAAAGTTCGAATGGAGAAAATTTGCTTGCATCATTTATATGGATTCGAGTTGAGTAAAGAGCGGCCCGAAAAACGTCCTCCCAGCGCGCCGGATCCCCACTGTTATTCATCTTGAAAAGAGCCGCCTCCAATATCCCGTTATATCTTTCATTCTTCCCATTCGTCCGTGGATGATAACCCGAAGTGTTCAACTTCTTGATGTTACCAGCCAACAAAAACTTCAACAACCCATTCGACAAAAAATTCGACCCTCGATCAGTCAAGAATTCCCGGGGTAGCCCAAAAGGCGTGATAACCTCATTGAGGATAACTTCAGCAATGTTGGTCGACGTCGCCTCCTTCATAGGGACAGCAATCGGCCAACCAGTACAGTGGTCAACTAGCGTGAGGACCCACTTCCAACCATTCTTCTTGGATTCCGGCAAGGAAATGAAATCAGCAGACCACCTTTCAAATGGACCAACCAACGGT